GCCTGCCCCAGGGCCAACTCCCTCTGTGCAGGGAAACCCTGCGCGCGCCTGCCCCGGGGCCGACCCTCCCGTGCGCACGCCTCCCCCGGGGCTGACTCACCCCTCCTGTGCGGTGCAGGGAGCCAATGCTCCCTCCCGCAACACACCCGGCAGAGCAGCTAGCGCTGCTTCCGGAATCACCGGAAGTGGTGCTAAGCTGCGAGACTTCTGTCCATCCCCAGGAAGCCTACACTACCTCCATTTTCACTTGAGGTAGGTAGTGGGGCTTCTCGGGGGTGGGAGGGAAATGGGGGCGGGGCAGACAGGACGCCTCGCGATCGACTGATCGAGGCCTCGCGATCAACCAGTCAATAGCGATCGACCTGTTGGTGACCATGGGGCTAGAGAATGTTTCATTCATGAACAGCTCAAACTACACTCTCTAGTCTACTGAAGCAACAAACAGCTTATGTTTTTAAAATACACAGAGTAAAAGTAGTAATCTTCGAATCAGGAGCAATTTTGCAGAAGGAATTAGATTTCCAGTATCAAATATGGCATCACTGAAGAACATAAACTGTGTTGCAGAAACCTTGTCTTTTTATTTGTATTTAAGTCAACATTCAAAGCCAACATCGTGGAACTTTGTATTGCAGAACCAAAACTTTTGAAAAGACCTTCTCTGTTGAACATCTCCACCTTCCAGCTTTCTTTAAGGAACCCCCAAACATCAAGTCTTGACTGAAAATTGCATTGTATTCAGCACAGCATTTTAGCTACTGGTCCTATTAACTTTAGTCACTTTGATATTTTTTAAGGCAGAGGATGAATCTTCTGATCTTACTAATATTTTAAACGTTGAAGTACAGCATATGAGTCTAATAAACACGTATTTACACAAATAGTCCTAATGACTTCATGGGACTACTTAGGTGAGTTAGGATTACTCACATAGTCCTTGCAGGATCAGGTCCTGAACTCTTTAAGGTTAATATGAACAGGTGCATTATCCAAATACAGAATTCTATTATTTAAATTAGAAACTAAATAGGTATATCAGAAGTAGAGGTTGATGTTGTGACGTACCCGGCAGGGTCCGCACTGGCCCAGGGGGAGGGTTACCCCACTGGGCACGGAAAAGGGCGCCACGGCCAGAAGCGGCGGGGCCGATCCCGACTGGCCAGAGCGAGAGCGTGGGGGAGCCGGGACAAGCCCGCGGCGGGGTAGGCTGACCCGGGTGCACGCCGGGACGAGCCTAGAGGGGAAGACAGGGGGGGGTGGAGCTAATCCCCCTGACGTCACTCCTCGGGCGCCTTGAAAAGCGGCCGGAGGACGCCAGCAGCGTGGGAGCAGAGAGATGGCCACACTAGCTTCCAGGAGCACCAAGCCTCTCACCCCCCGGGCGAAGAAGGACGACTCCAGCGGACTCCGGATCCTGGTTGGACAGACCCAACGGCTCTGGCGGGGTGAGTAACACAGCAGGCGTCCCATTGGGAGGGCCTGAAGGCAGGGAGTGGAAGGAGCCCGGGGCAGGGCACCTTTGGGGCCCGTGGGCAGACGAGTTTAGGCCACTGCCTCATCTGCCGTGGAGGGTGGCTCACTGACACCATACTCCACTTAGGTCCCCGGGCTGGGATCCGGAGGAGAGGGAGGGCAGGGTGAGGATAGTGGTCACACCCCAGCACTGCGGATGCATAACCGCCCGTTGAAGGGGCGGGAAAGGGGCAAGGACCCCAAGGCCCGCGGTCGGGCTAAACCTCTAGCCTCGTTAGGGGTGACGCGGTGGAGGGTTCACGGAACCCCCTTTGACAGCTAAGGCAGAGGGGTGGTCGCACCTATCCATTCCACCGCAGGCAGACCCTGTTTAGGGGTTCATTGGACAGACCCAAGGTGGTGGGTTCACGGAGCCCCCCCCCTCTATCTCCCGGGGGAGAAGGGGAGTGGTGCTCGCACCCGTAAGCCCGCCACAGCCATGTTTAAATTAACTATCATGAAACTGATCCTGAATGCTGATGAGATAAACTGACTTCTCTGGTATATTGTGGACTTCTATCTCATTCTCAATTTGTGTTTTCTTTCTATTTTATTGATGCCTGCAAGGTGCTAGAAGCCTTGGGATAGGGATCCTACAATGTATAAAACTGTATAAATTGTTAGAAGGCAAGCAGAGATTGCAAAATGCCAATAAGATAATGCAGGTCCCATATTTACCACTGTCTTACATAATTCAATACATTTTTTCACTAAATGGATACAATCATATTTCATTCTAAACTACAAACAATGGCAAATTTTGGAATTTTCAAAGTACAGTAGACTTCCGATAATCTGGAACCTTTGAGACCTAGGTGGTGCCAGATTATCGCATATGCTGGACTATCAGGAGGTACGATATGCTGTGTATATATATGGTTATATATATAAAACCAGTTTATACTGTATATAATGTGTTTTTAACCCTTTTTATTGTAGCACAACCACTGTCCAGCATCACACAATGCCAGTGGCAGACTGACTCAGTCCCGTCCGGTTTCGCTCGGTTTAGCTGCTGCCACTGCTGCCTTGTGACTTATTTTTTGCCGAAGCTCACACACTAGGCTCTTGCCATTTTGATGCTGGACTATCAGGAGTGCCGTACAATTGGATGACGGACTATTGGAGTTTTACTGTAATCAACAGATTATAGCTCTAAAATGATTGTTTTACTCTATTTTAGGATTTTCAGGGAATAAGCCTCAGATTAAAGATCATGACCACTGCTGATATGCTCCTTTGCTTGTTTTTAAATCTAACACCATCTCAGAGCTATATTCTTCCTTCAGTCCTGAAACTCTGTTTTATATTAAAATTGATCATCCATTGTAATAAAAATGTTGGCAGTAGTTAAGAGGGTTGCAGGATTTAGTATTTAATCAAATACTCTGAATACAGATTTCCAGATTTTGTTAATTTAAGGTGCGTCTACACAGCACCCTAAACTCAAAATAAGATACACAATTTGCACTACACAAACTGTGTATCTTATTTCGATTCTATTTCAAAATAGCTTATTTTGAAATTTAGCGTGTCTACACAGCACCAAATTTCGAAATAATGCGCTATTTCGAGACATCCTTTAACCCTTGTGGAACAAGGGTTACAGGGATGCTGAAGCAGCGTGCCCGTTATTTCAAAAAATATTTTGAAATAACGGGCGGCTTGTTAAAACGCGGGGTAGCTATTTCAGGATACTGAAATAGCCACGCAGTTTAGACATACCCTTATTGTTTTACTCTTCTTAATACAAGATTTACAGGGGCTTTGATAAACACACCATCTAAACTAAAGTTATACAGACTAAAGTTTATCTTACTACCCTTCATTTTTGTTAAGTACCTTTATTTCCTATGAAATATTACTTCTTGAAACAATATTCCTTGTTGAGTAGCATATCTCCATGCTTTTAATAACAGTACATAAGAAAGCCTATTTTACTCTTTTCCTCAGCAGCAATAACTGAGTACAGCCATCAAATAATGTGATATTATCAGAATAGGACTATGGCCATGGTACAAAGATATTAACTTGATTTTGTACTACAAATGCAGAGAAAAAGAAAAAAGTATTAAATATTATCTCAGAGTTAATTTGCTAACAAATGACAAAGTCCTGGCTGGGATGATTTCGTGAGGGTTGGTCCTGCTTTGGGCAGGGGGCTGGACTCGATGACCTTCTGAGGTCTCTGCCAGTCGTAAGATTCTATGATTCTATGAACAAGTGATGCAATACTTACTCCATGCCTTGTGCAGTCTGCCGTGCAATATCAATGAGTTTGATCATTTCAAATTTGGTCTCAATGATATGCAAATGGTGATACAAACTGGAGCCCTCACACCACTGTGTAACAATAGCCAACTGTGGCTTTGTTGAATAACCCATGAAAAGTAGAATATTCACATGTCGTGTTTTCCTGTAGAAGAAAATTTTCATTGGAAATCAATGAAAGCGTTCATGGAAATTTCACAATTCAGATGTTGTGACTGCCTTTAGAGGTATTAATACACAAAGGCAGGGTTTCATCAAGGAAATATAACAGCCTGGGTGTACACAGTTTACTAAACTTTTTTTCACTATATGGAAGGATTTATAAACACATCTGACCACAGATGAAGAATTGCTCACTATTCAAATTTATCTTTAGAAAGGAAAAATTAGGAATAGATACAAAATACCTCTGAAAAATGCTAGCTATGATTTCTGCTTCTGAATATTACGATAAGGGGAATAAATTTGAAATAGAATACACAAATAACTCCTGAAGCGATGTAAATTAGAGATGTTAAAAAGTGGGTAATTGGTAACTTTGTAACCACTGACCTGGTGTGCGCTGGAAGCCAGCTTTTAAAGCCGGATCCTGGTGCATACCAGCTCCTGCTTGCCAACCCCTACCCTGGAGAGCTGACTGCCACCCTCAGCTCCTGCCTCTAAAAGCAGGGCTGGCATGTGGGAGCCAGTATGTGCCAGGAGCTGGCTTACAATACAGAGGTAGCAGCGCGGTGAAGCAGCCAGCTTCCTGGGAACTAGTGCATGTCAGTAGCTGGCTTTTAAGCTGGATCCCGGTGCGCACAGTTCCCTCCTGCCATCCCACTCCCAGGGAGCTGGATGCTGCTCTGTGCTGCTGCCTCTGATAAAGAGAGGGCAGTAAGCTCCCTGGGAGTAGGTGTGTGCCAGGAGCCAGCTTTTAAGTTGGTTCTTGGCACATACTGGCTCCGAGCCCCGCTACCACTAATAAAGAGCCAGCAGCAGGGGGCAGCGGCCAGCTCCCCAGAAGCATGGCAGGAGCTTATTGGTTAACTGTTTAAACAGTTATCCTGTTGCACCCCTAATATAAATGCATATTAATGATCTAATGTCATCAAAAAGATAATTAACACATTCTTACCTGAGCACTCCTACTTCATTTTTGAAGGCCTGTAACTGCTGAGGCGTTGGTGCTGTAACATTCAACATTTTCACTGCTACATCACCTTAAAAATGGCCATTTAACAGACAAAATTAAGATGTACGTAGTATACACAGTTCACTCAATGAGCAAATGCAACATATACATTTGGAAATCTTTATTCAATAAGAGATGGACCTTTCAGATTCATGAATGATTAGGATTAATCTTTAGCATGATAGTTTCTTTATTCACTAAAATTAGCAAAAGTTTCAATATCATGCATTTTATCTCGTACTTTGTTTAAATGAAAAAAATAAAATAGACAAATTCCTCTATGAAGCTCGGAAATAGTACTTCGCCACAAAGATTACATACCATGCCACTTTCCCTTGTAGACTGTTCCAAATGATCCAGATCCTATCCTTTGTCCAACTGTAATCTGCCCATCTGGTATCTCCCAATCATCACTTGAGTCCCGTCGACCAAGGGTTTTCTTTAAAAAGAAATGCAGCTGTAGTAATCTTCATTAAAACGAGTTTCTTCCTTACTAAAAGCTACTTCAATGTCGTTCTAAATCTGAAGCCTTAACAGGTCATTTATCATCAAGCAAAATTTATTTTCATTTGATTTCCAGAGCAAATACTAAGTAATATTTTATTTATAATTTAATCTTTACTCTTAAATATTTGTGATTTTCTTCCAAGATGAGCACATACTGAACCTCTGTACTTTAGCATACAGGTGCACTAAACAATTTCCTATGGTGGAGGCATTCATTACTGAGTCAGTTTTCTGGTAGCTGTCACTAGTAAAACTGAGATATTACTAATAAACCAAAACAACTCATGACTAGGTTGGAATTATAGTTAAAATTATAGTTATAACAAATTATAGTTAAATTGTAAATTTTAAAAATCTAGTAACTTTCAGGAGATAATGCTAAATCTAGAATCAGGAAGCTAACATTTGTGAAATGTGAGAACATTTTAAAAGTTTTTCTCTCAGGTAGATCAGCCCCATAGGATGAAGCATACAGAAACTTTTGGATGTCAATTAAAATACCTGCATATACTGAATGATTTATATCTGATTCATTCATCAGTCCAAGCAGACTAATGTAGTACTATTATTTATTGGCTTAATATATATGTTAGCAAATATCAATATCTCCAGTATAATTCCTTTGATGAAGGAATAAGGATGTCTAACACAAAAGCAGTGAAGCATAGCTTTCTTCCCTTACCATTCTATTCCTATCTTCAGAGGATGAGGATGATTTCCTCTCTCGCTGTGGTCCAGGGGACTTCTGTAAAGCTTTCACATTGGTAAGGGACCCAGGCAAGGAAGCAGGCGGAGTGGCAGACAAACCAGTGGTTGAACCTAAATTGGAGAGGAGATAATTGGAAGAATTTTATAATGAATATAAAAATTATAAAGACAGTTTATATATAAATTTATTGTATAAACATATTAAGTGCAGGAATTGTGTTTAAGATGCAGTATCTCCAAACACAAATGTAAATGTTAAGAATACAGAAATGTGCACTTAGTAATACTGTATTATCATCTGATTAATACTGAAAAGTCCTTTTCAGGAAGCAGGAAAGACCAAAATTTAATCGATAGCAAATTTCCTTGTATGCCAAAGAGTCTTCAATGGTGTGTTGCTGATTTAATAAAATGGCAGTGTCTTTGAACAACAAAAACACCACTGCACATTATTTTTTATATATGCAGTTTCTTTGATAACAAAAATAGAAATACAATAATTAAGTTAATAGAACCATCTTCCCAGACTTGCTGTTGACAACTTTTTAGGGTCCTGACAATTGCAGGGTGCAACAAATTGGAATTAAAATAGATTGACTGTAAAAGCTGGGGATGTTTTCCAGTTGAGTCTTCAAGTACAATCTCAAAAACATTTGGCTGTTTCAAAGCTAGCTGCTAGTAGAAAGCACTTATTTCAAAGTAGTATACTAAAGTACACTGGAGATTTGAAAGAACAAGTACTTTAGTTAGCTACTTGAGGTGTATTACATTAAATACAAAAGAGCAATCCATCTGCCTAGCATACAGTGTATGTAAACAAAGCTACACAGAAAAATGTCACTAACATCAGGATTGCATTTCAGAGCTCCAATGCCTATTTCTACAGAACACTTCAAACTAAAATATCCTATACTTACTAGTAGCAAGGTTAAACTGACACTCCCAGCATGAGGGACATAAAACAGGGCCACTTGTTAGTTAAATTTGTGCAGCTCTGCTAATCATTACATATCACCATACAAAATCTCCAGTATTTCACAGATGTTTTCTATTACAGTGGTGCTTGGAGAACTGGTACAAGCCACTTATTTTTCCTTCTCCTGATTCATGCAGCAGCTCCATTCTTGTTTGAAAGGAGACTTCCACTGTAACAGTATTAAAACTCCAATTCAAAACCTCTGAATTAACTCAGTGGTTTCCACTTTTCAGGGTATAGCAGGGTACAGAAGTCTGCCAGACCTTGGCTGCTACTGTCTTTTCAATTAGGTTTGATCTCATTGTTCCAAATCCCAGCATAGAAAAGGGAAGGCAGACAAAAGGGATATGCAAACCATCATGAAAACTCATCATAAAGATTGGGTAGGAATAGCTAGAATATTATCACGAACATGTGAAACACCAGTACTGATAAATGTGCCAGATGTCTTACTTAACCAGACATACACCAATAATTGGAAACCACTGATTTTGCACGGGTGGGATTTTTAAAAATTCTAATACTTCTATATTTCATCATTTTATTTTAATATTGTAGTATCTACGATTTGTGTGTTAAATGTGTCATTTTTCAGAATTACAAATATTTCAACTTAATTATCTCACATTTAAAGGTCAGATTCAATAAGCCTATAACCCTGTTAGATAGATTTTAGCTGTAATGTCAAAGTTCAATGAGAACGATTTCTTACTTAGAAGTAGGTAGGTTCTTATGCTCAAGTTTAAACATAAGATACAGAGATATCAACACAATACTCATGACAATATGATTACAGCACAAAGTTAGAAATGCTTTAGTGAATCCATCTGTAAGTAAACTAGAAGCCTTGTTTTTTCCATTTATTATAGTTTGACTACTTCAGGCTGTAGGAGTGAAACTTGTACATCAACTCGTATATATTTAATGCATTATATTGAATTACTTTTTATTTGTTTTATCTTGTCTCTCAGATGAAAATTGTATTGCAAATCCCTCTCTTCTAAAACATTAGTGGAACAATTCTCCAACTGTTTAATCAATAAAGCAGTGGTAGGCAACCTGCAGCCCATCCGAGTTCTATTTGTGACCCACAAGACATTCTGTTTATTGTTGCCCACACACAGGATTGCCAGATTCCACTGGTTTCCATTCGTGTTGGTTTTTCCTACTGGTATTACTCAAGTGACATGCATGTAAAACAAGGGTACGTGAAGAGAGGCGCCCGCTGATTGCACACATTGACTGTGAGAGCCGGGCACTCCCTCTGCATCCAATCAAAGCACTACTACAGTTTAGTTGGTATACCTTGAAAATTCTAGGTATGCAAATTCAGTTAGAATAACTACCTTCTCCAAGAAAACAGTCTTGGTTACAACAGTCTTGTGGCCCATTCACTAGCCTTAATTGCTCATTACTGCCATAAAGTGAATTGCTCTTAATATTCTAAAACAAAAATCTTTGAAACAGCCAGAAGAGTAGCATTTGGAAAACATACACAGTAGGCACTGGATTATTCATTACTAACTATCTACACACACAATTTTCCATGCCATTATTTAATACTTGGCTTCTTTAGCATTTGAAATCACACTAAGCGCTCTGGCATTTAATAGATCTACTGACCATCTTAGGCCCGATAAGAAGTCAAAACGATGGTATTATTTAGCAATTTTAGTGCACAAACAAGTATTGACTTCAATAGGGCTATGTAGAGAACTGTAATAATTGAACTAGTGTTTGATTTGGTTCAAATTAACTAGCTCCCCAACTTGATGTCAGTGCAACTCTCTGAAAACATATCAATCATAGCAAGTTGACACTTACATGATCTCCAAAAGCCTAAGACCTAACAAAATATCAAGGGAAATGTTTGCAATTGCATTTTATTTCTTACAGTAGTTTTTTTTTAAATACAGAATGTTAAATACTGAAAACTCTTACGGTACGTCTACACTTGCTCTCTCGTTTGAACTCAGGATGCAAATGTAGGTGACCGAAGTTGCTAATGAGGCGGGGACTTAAACATCCCATGCTTCATTAGCATGATCTCGCCGGCACGTTACTCCGCTCAACAGCTGTTTCGAAAGTGAAAGTGTGCATCAGGACACGTTAGTTCAAACCAAACTCCTTGGTTCGAACTAACGTTACTCCTCATTTTTTGAAGGAGTAACGTTAGTTCGAACCAAGGGGTTTGGTTCGAACTAACACGTCCCGGCACGTACTTTCACTTTCGAAACAGATGTTGAGTGGAGTAACGCGCCGGCGAGATCATGCTAATGAAGCATGAGATGTTTAAGTCCCCGCCTCATTAGCAACTTCGGTCGCCTACATTTGCATCCCTAGTTCGAACTAGAGAGCAAGTGTAGACGTACCCTTAGAATGTTAAATTGACAGTCAAGGAAATTCCAAGTTAAGGATGTCACTTTGTCCTTAGTCTCATTCTACTGAAATTTTAGGTCCCTCATATAAGCAAGCTATATTAGGGACAGTATGGAAACCTTAACTCTGAAATTCCTTGCTTTAGAACCTTTAAGTCAGATTTAACATACAGTAATCCCACATGTATAGAAGTGGAAGTGAGTATGTGAGAAAAGCACATTCAAAGCATACCAGCCAGGCCAAGCAAAAAATTGAGGTGTTTTGGTAAACTCACACACTTACATACACACAGTGTGAGGGTGAGGCACAAACAGCATCTGTGGTGTTACTTATTTTGTTTTGGGTGAAAACAAGAAAGAAGAGCCCAACTACCTCTGAATACTGGGCCAGGCTCAAAATCAAACACTATTTCACTGGGGACAGAATGTAGGAGGGGACTGGGAGTCCGGGATTGGTATTTCCGAAGGCAGCGCATCAGCTGGTTCAATGGGGCTGTTAGAGAGAAAGAGACGGGCAGGCAGAGACAGGAAGACAGACACACAGAAGAAATGAAAGAAGTCATGGGAAATAATTAGGAAGCTTTGACTCCTATTCATAGATTGCTTCTGGATTTTGAAGGGGAAAAAACTTATCCAATTATTAAAAACATGCTTTCAAGAAGGGGAATAGCCAATTGTTCTCAGATGCCAAGCAGACAGCTTATGACCAAAGTTAAAACTGACATGATAGTACGACATTTAAATGCTGGACATTATGGGCAAAACTTACTGAAAGCCACAGCTACCAAGACATACAAGATAGTCAAAATTGACACCTTCTTTTTCAGTAGGTTTATGGATTTAAGGGGGGGAAAAGGAGTGGTTCTATAAACCAGTATATGAAATAATAGCTCCTGAAAACACAAAGCAGGAGCCAGGTGCCACCATACTAGTTAACAAAATCACATAGCAAAGCCAAAGTCAGCTGTAGCTTAGATCTAAGTCACTGAGCTAGAGAGATCAGGCTAACTTAGACTTTGCTGAGAGGTGAAGCAGGTCATAGTTAAAAGGAGATAACAAGTCTCTTCACTATTTGGAGCTGGATGAGCGGTCACATACATCTCCTCTTTATTAGGAATAAGTTATGTCATGTCAAGTAACTAAGCACAGCAAAGGAGATGTTTTCACAAGACCTTGACAGCCAGTGCTTAGGGTTCTTCCTGTGGAAAGCAGGCTGCACAGTAGTGATTGTGAGCTCTGACATGTGAAAGAAAAATGATAATTCTGCCCTTTGTCACTAATTTTGCCTTAGCTCAGAGTTAATGCTATTACTTGTTTCCCAAGTTAACAAAGGCATGCAATGCAGTACAGCAAAGCAGCAGCTTCAGCTGGGGAGAGGGGACGAAGAAGCTCAAGTGTATCTCATGCCATTTAGAAGACACAGCAGTTCATATGGCTAGTTCACAAAACTTGTTGACAGACTTTAAAGGAAGTCTCTGATGACTCCTTAGATGGAAAGGTAGTGGCTGACTTGAAGGGCTTTGAGAATGAGATTGGAGGTTTAAGTGTATATTGGGGAAAATCCTCCAGGCTCCATCAGGAACAGAGGGGATTCCCCTTCTCTAGAAATAAAATTATTTTAAAATTAAAACATCAGTGACCATTTCACTTTCCTCCTTCCCTCTCCCCCACTCCTAGAATGACTGGTGAATGGCTGAAACCCTTATCAGACAGATGCTAAACATTATGGACAAACACATGTAAATAAATTTCATTGCTCTCTTCACATTTCTCTCTGAGTCTGTGTCTGGAGAAATGAAGTAGTACAAAGGGGACAGGCTAAGGCAATCGCGTAATTACTCTTAGAAAAGAAAATAGTTCCAAGACTACTTACCTCCTTCTCCTCGTAACCCCTGGTCTCTAATCAAGTCCTACAAACAAAAGCACAAGTGTATGTATCTGGTTCATACATTATTATTTGTATCACTGTATTCCTTGAAAGCCCCCATCAAGATTGCAGCTCCATCACACTAAGAATTGTCCAAAGAGTAAAATCCAGCCTCTGCCCTGAAGAGCTTACAATCTAATTATTACAATTATATGCAAATATATATAATAATGTATGAAACTTTAAGAAATCACTTAATTTCAAATACTGTAACTTAACACTAACCTGAAGTATAGGCTAGTTATAGATGCATACTTATAGGTATTGATTTAGGCCTACAATTAGTCAACATGAATGGGAAAAACTGAACCAAATTGGGAGTCATCTTTCCAGTTACATAGTGAGACACACAAAATGCTCTCGAATGTCACATCAAAGCCAAGGACACCAATTTTTTAAGTGGGTGATACCAACTCAACATTTTTTGAGGAGGAGCGGCTTTTCGACCAAGGAGGAGGTTTGCCGAAAAAGCTGCATCTAAACTATTTTCGCTTTCGAAAGCGAAATAGGAAGAAGATATGCATATCCTCTTTCGACACTTTAGCATTGTCTAGATGAGCACCTTTATGTTTTGGTAGCTTTGCTGCTAAATCAAAACCACTCAATCGACTACACTCAGTGATTTTTCAGGGGGCAGGCTAATGGAGAGGTAAGGTACTAAAAGCCAAGATTCAGGCTTTAGTACCCAATCAAGTCCAACTCACCCATTTTATCCTCAGCCATAACAATTTTACATTCAACAACACTTTTAATTCCATAGGAACAGCCATGGATACAGTGATGGCTTCCTAAAATGCAAATCTCTTTATGGCTACCTTGAGGAAAAATTCCTGGACAAATGCACTGTGAAACTAATTATATTCCTGATATACATGTTGATGCTGATAACATTTTCATCCTCTGGACAATCTAAACGCTTTAAGGCTTGGTCTACACTAGACCAGGAATGTTGGCCTAAGGTACATAACTCTAGCTACGTAAAATTTATAGCTGGACTCGGCTTACCTTAAGCCGAGCCTTGGTGGTGTCCATACTGCGAGAGGTCGATGGGAGCAAATGCTCCCATCAGTTTCCCTTACTCCTCTGAAAAGGAGGAGTATTGGATACCGGTGGAAGCTGTCCTCGGCGTTCGATTTACAGATCTATACTAGACCTGCTAAACTGAACGCCAGAACATCGACCTCCGAAGCATCGCTCTTCCAGTAAATATAGATGGGCCCCTACCGATTTCCCCCACAAAATCAACAACGACCATACAGCCATTAAACTTCCTTTAGTACACTCCCAAACTAGCATCAATTTCTGGACACCACAACCAGATTCACTGATGTAACCTCACGGACAATTATATACATAAACCCACAGATAACCATGCCTACCTTCACAGATCAGTAACCACTGCAAACACATCAAGAAATCTCATCCACAACCAGGGCGTCAGATACCACAGAACTTGCTTTAAGGAGAAATTCCAGGATATACACCTTAATACATTTAAATCATCATTCACCAAACAATGATACTCCACCAAGAAGTGATCACATTATAGAATGGGCCACCCATATATCCCAAGAGAATGTGTTTCAATACAGAAATAAACCCCCTCCAACTGTACATCCCTAGCTATCACCTATCACCCCACACTGGAACACATATGGGATATTATGAAACAGTTAAAACCCATACTCAGTGGAGAAAAAAATATTTCCTGAACACAACCTCAAACTCTGTAAGCACATCATCAGAAGCAAGCTTCCCATAGACCAGGACCAAAGCAGCACCAAACCTTGCAAGAACAAGATATAAAACTAGTAGACATATCTCCACTGCTACCACAATCAATGCCCTCCAAAACACATCTTTCAAAATCCCAAATATGCCTATCACAACATGTAGTACACCTCATCCTGTGCATTAAATGCTTCAATATCAATTATATAGGTGAAATGAGACAGTCATTAGCTCTGAAATGAACTCTCAGAAAAATTCTAAAAGACAAAAGTGCCATATTATCTGCAGATGAACACTTTTCACAAAAAGAGCACTCTATATCTGACCTCTCGGTCCTCATCCTCAAAGGAAACCTGCAGACCTTCAAAAGATAAGCCTGGGAGCTCAAATTTACGACTTTGCTAGAAACTAAAAAAACCCAAGGACTGGACAGAGACACTGGGTTTATTACAATAATCTATAACCCATTAAATCTCTTCCCCTGTCTCCCCCCAACCATGTTTCTGCCCCTCCTTTCCCACTATGACTAGAGAAGTGTTAATGGGTCACTTCACCTTGGATGGTCCCTTGGAAATTTGTGTTAACTACTTATGCTAAAAAATCTGTTTCACCTTGTGTTAAGCTGTGATACTCTTGAATACATTTCCCATACCTGAAGAAGAACTTTGTGTAAGCTTGAAAGCTTGTCTTTCTCATCAACAGAAGCTGGTCCAATAAAAGATATTACCTCACTCACCTTGTCTCTATAGGATACAGGTATGTGTTAGAAAAACTAAGAAGATATTGGTGTTAGTAGTAGTTTGCAGTAGTAGTGCTGACCAGCATTATGCTTAGTTCATAACAATGTATTTGTCCTTCAGATTTTCAAATTGATCCTCCAAAATGCCAACGAATACAGACAAAAATAGACAATCAAAGTGTAGAAAAGTATTGGATGTTCAAGGAACATGTTAAGCATGGTACATGTGGGGCAATACACCATTTCTGATATTCAAAGCAGCGCTGGTAAATTCAAATTATTGCAAGAACCAGAGCCTCCAATGCTAGAAACATTATTCCCAGTGTAAGTGATACAAGAAATCAAACATTTAAAAAAAACATTTTCAATACTTAGGATGTCTTGCAAGGGTTGTTACTGGCTTTTCAGGATCAACACCCTGTGGAGTGTTGCTAGCAATAACAAGTTCAGGGATTGATTTAATACTAATTGCTTGTGGTGGTGTGCTAGTGTGGAGAAGTGGGAATTTGATTGTCAAGAGGGATTCAATATTATTTGTGAAGAGATTGTTTGATTTTTTTCCCCAGCTCTGACTGTAGAAAACTCTCCTCTGGTTAATTAGGATTTATGAAGATATAAGTAAATCAGCAAGGATTTTAAAACATTTGTGAGTGTATGTTACGACCTCAATAGCATAACTCCGCTGTTAGTGACCAAACTTGTATTGATACTTACATCAATATTGACAGGCTCTATTGTATTGATGTGCACATTGGGTGCTGAAGACGATCGGTCTCGTTGCCCAAACTGATTCCGATGATCTTCATCTGCTGGTCGGAAGGGCTGTGGGATTGGAATGGATTTTGAAGGAGAAGGACTAGGGAGAATTGGTGGTCTGAGAAACAAAGTCAAGGAAAAAAGAAGATTTAGATGTACAAATGGCTTAACATATTCCATACAGGGTGCGGCATATCCTTTTCTTTTCAATTATGATATGTAAAAAAAGATAATTTCTGTAGCAGGCAAGTACAAAGAACCGATCAAAACTAATTTATATTTAACAGTCTATGCCTGCCCTAGGATTAATTGTAACTAGTCCCTGCTGTGTGAGCTCCCTAATTACAAAATGGTGAAACAGAATGTTCTGGGGTTAAAGCATAAACAATCTTTACTGCATCTCGCTACCCCTGTTATTCGCTTTATGCTGGGAATCAATGAGTCCAAATTCACAATGCAGAGAATGGGCTGTTCCACAGCTTCTTATGCCAAGGGGCAAATGTGGAATCCCTTTCTTACTGGTAATCCAATGACAATTAAAAGTGATGTACTACATCAGTCTCCTGAGTCTGACTGATCTCTCAGAATAAAGTACATATGAGAACAGGATTGCTGCGCAGTAGACAGACAGACTGAAACTATAAGTGAGCAAAGGTAACAATATTACAGCTGTCATTGTAGTTAGAATTATTAGTATCAAATTAAAAATAAAAACACTAACTTTTGGCCTCTGTCTCCAGCAAATCACTCCGAACAATATTTTAAAATATGACTTACAAGTATTACAATCACTGAATTGGAGAGTTTTGACCTGAAACATGTAATTTGGAATATTTAGACCTGTTTTTGAGATGGAAAAGTAGCGGTTGCAGGTCATTCAAATGCTATTAACATCTTAACTTTGATTTGTAGACACTATCATTTACTTAGAGAAAATATCCACATGTGCCTTTTAATTAGTAAAAAGACAACATGTCACTTATCTTCATATTTCAGTTAAGGGTAGTAAATCAATATACGTCTCTTATTCAAGTCAAAGTCAATCATTGCTGGGTCTGTTGGTAAGATTTAATGAATTTAGGCAAAAAGTTAATGAGAAATACTTGCATTTTCTGAATCAAAGAAAAACTACGCTTACAGCACACTTAATAGCAGGTAACAGATATTTTGAATTAATTGAGACGTTTTACAGGGCAGTCCTCTATCCTCCAGGCTGATAGGTGAGTTAACCACTTCCACAAAGGCTAGGACAGGATAGGGCTATGGAAGAGGAAGCGAAGGACAAAGCAGCTTGCATCACCAACAAGATTCTATCATAGTCCCCTTCAAATAAATTATTTCTAATCTTTTATTAGTTGATCTTTAGGGGAATAGCATCCTCAACAGAGACAATGATTTTTTTAACCCAGAGAGGATATCTTGAAGTCCACCTTACAGGCAGAGCCATATTTATCCCATTTTTCTTTAGGGATTTTATACATTTTAGCACAGACCAAGAAATAGATGGCTTCTTTCAACCAAAGTATTATGCACCCACTTCTCTTTTCATCACTCCCCCGCCTTTGCCCACTGTAGCTTTATTGACCATGGAGAAACACTTCTTACCTGGCCCCAAGCTGTGAAGAAAGAGGGCAGGGGTGGTCCTCTCTCCCTGGGGCATACTGAACCTCTCATTCTTAGCCCCACCCCAGAGCAATGATTTAAATGAAGCATGTTAATTTTAATTTTATTTTCCAAAAATCAAAAAATAATTGTGTTAAGGGCCCAAGCAATGCTAGGTAATTTTTTTAATATACATGTAAAATTCTGACAAAATGACTGACCAGTTGTCCCTTTGGCTGCTCCACTGTAGGTGTGCTTGCATCCCTGCACTGATGATCAGATAACTTTGGTAGCACTGCCCATTCAGTCTGCACATGCACTGTCCCCTGCCACGAGGCTAACCAGAGATGCTCTGCCCCAGGCTTCCTGGAGTCAGCCGCTGATCAATTTCAGCAGCGGCTGAATCGGGGACGGCTGGGGCAGGGCAGTTGGGGTGCTGCCGGGTTGGTCCCACAGCGCCGCCCCTGGGCGCTGCGGGACCAACCCGGCAGCACTCCAGATGCTCTGCCCCAGGCGTTCCCAAGAGCAGCTAGGGTGCTGCCGGGTTGGTCCTGCAGCCCCGAGCGGCAGCGCTATGGGACCAACCCGGCAGCACCCCAGCTGCTCTGCCCCAGGCAGTTTCAGCAGCAGCTGAATCGGGAAGCCAGGTGCAGAGCAGCTCCAATTGTCCAGCAGCCGGAGCACTTCTAGGTTCCTGATGGTGCCGGACCATCAGGAGTGCCGGATCATTGGATGCCGGACCAATGGAGTTTTACTGTACTCTGTACTGTTAATGTTCCTGGTCCCAGGTAAATCTGAAGTAATCAACTGTGGAAAGGCAGGATCGATACGAGGAAACAAAAATCCTGTAAGTTGAGGGCCAAGAACCAATCTCTCTGTTCAAAAGATGGAATAACTGTCGTTAATATGATCACCTTGAATTTTTGAGCTTTGACAAACTTGTTTAGTGCTCTGAGACCCAGACCCACTTGACAATTTGATCTGAGGAAGTGGGTCTGGCCCATGAAAGCTCATCACCTAATGAACCATCTTGTTAGTCTTTAAAGTGCTGCTTAGTCCTGTCTTTTATCTATTAGATGTTATTCATTTCCAGTTGTGGAATGGAGCAAGGAGACACCCAAATATATGTTGCAGATTAGCAGGGCTCAACAAATCGCTGTATCTACTCGTCCGGGGTGAGTAGATTTCAGCTGTTTGCCCTGTTCACTGGCGCTGTGCGCATGCGCAGTGCCGGTCTGGTGCATGTGCGGTGCGGGACTGGCGAGTAGATCTCCCCGCAGTTTGTCGAGCCCTGTAGATTAGTTATCTTGAGTTGCTGTTAAAGGGAGTGATCTCTTGGTGACCTGATCAAAGCATCAAAACTGAAGTTTTGAGGCAGATGGTTGTGAATAGGGTGACTGAAGGAGGCAGATGCTTGTGAAGAGGAAGAATGGAGGAAGCAGATGGTTGTGGAGAAGAAGACTGAAAGCCTGACAGTTTGCATTTTGAAAACCTGATTTTTTCCTTTGAAGCTCATAGGATCACTGAGCTGGAAAATGTGCTGTGCAGGATTTATGTTGAGGTTCAAGACTAAATTTCCTTTTTTTGTACAGGTGTAAAAATCCCTAATGACCTGAGGAGTACCTTTGGAATCTCTGAAAGTATAGAGGGATGCATCCGTCTCCTTGGCAAACAGTCTGGTGACCCTCAAAGGAAAGCTGGACAATGACAGCCATAATGCTTGCCATGTAACAGATGTGGAGATGAACTGGGTTGCTGACTTGGCTGTATCAAGCATTGACTGAAGTGCTGTCTTGATCACAAGTTGTTCTTTGTTAACAATGGCAGAAAACTGTTCCTGACTATGGAAGCTGATCAATAAATGTGTTGCACTCGGAGTAACTCATGTAACTGTATTTTTCTAGCTGGCCATGATAATTTGCAATTCTAAATTACACTGTGGTGGATGAGTAGGCCTCTCTCACAAATAGTCTGAGATGGTTCCAGTCACTGTCATAGAGGGTGTATGTCAACTGGTGTGGATGACCTATGGATTTCATAGCATCCAAAACAATCAAATTAGGGAGGGTTGGGGAAAAAGGAAATTCCGTATCTCTAGCTAGGACACAATATTTCTTATCAGTCCATTTGCAGATAAGCATGACTGATAATGGAATCTACTATATACGCTTGGACGGCTCCAGAAGGGTCTCATTAATGAGAAGGGCTACTATGGAGAAGGAGTGTAAGGCATCCTGGAGTTTACGATGGGTGTCTTTCACCTTCTCAAGAGGTATCTGTAAAGTGTCTCCCACCTGTTTTGCCAAATTATGAAATAGCCTGAAGTCGTCTGTTAGAGGCAGAGGAGGCAACACTGCCTTGTCTGGAAAGGAGGAAAAGATGTTGGTCTGACCTCCTGTTCTTTCATGATCTCTTTCAGATGCTCTGCATACTGTGGCTCACAGAGAGCACCTCAAATGTTTATGATGGGCCGCACTAGATGTTCAGGAGGCATGGAGTCTGTAAGCCATTCAGGGATCCCAGTAGCACTACTAGGGCGGTGGAAAGGGTCGCACTGGCTTGACCCATGACTGGCCATACCACAGAGGATTGAGGAGCAGATGAAGGGTATGATTGAGGGGGCCCAGGTAGGGGGCAGACACTATAAGAAAGGTGGTTCTCTTCACTATCTGATTCTTGACTAAAAAATGGAATTGCATGACATAGGTATCGGCAGAGAGTCCTGTGTTTAGAGTAAACTCAGTACTTGGGCTCCAGTACTGAGTAGGAGAGATTCTGATACCTCAGATACTGTGAAGTCCTCTGAGTCTCAACTTTTATGGTGCCATCATACTCAGTACCAAAGGTAGTTGTAAATGCTGGGTCCATGGTACCAAGGTAATTGGCAATCTGGGCCATACCGGCTCCAAGGCATGTTTTTGACAGTGCCAATGGTGCTACCGGTATGGATATTATCTTCCCAGAGATGGGGCACTCTTTGTCTTTGCCTGTCCTTGATAGTACCATTGCCTCAGTGGCTTTGCCCATCAGTCCTTAGGTGCATCAATAGTACCTGCTGCACCAGACGCTCATGAGTTATGAGTATCATGTTTCGATAGTTTCAGTGCAGTCAGTACCAACAATACCAAATGTGTCAGATCTTTTTCTGAAAGCCCAAGACTCACTCTGGGGACTCATGGCTCGCTTTTTTGAAGCCTTAAATGAGAGGTCCATGGGTGTTTTCTTTGATTCATAGTCCTTAGAAGAGGATTCACACCAGGTGGATGATTCCTGATATGGGCCTAGGGTAGGCTGGAGGGCTGCCTTCACTGAGGAGGTGTTTTAGTATCATTTCTTTGGAGATCTGGACTTTAATTGTTGGCAGAGACCATGCTTTTGGAAAATGTGGCATTTCTCAAGGCAACAGAATGTCTGCCTGCTGCTGGGGCAGTCTCATTGCAAAGAGACACCTCTTCAACCCCCAGGCACTGGACATACCCTGCACTGGGGCAATTCCCAGACAAAGAGAGGGTTCTT